AGAGAGAGAGAGAGAGAGAGAGAGAGAGAGAGAGAGAGAGATTCCTTTAATCCTTGTAGTGGATTGCCAAGGCATGGTCAACTTGTTACAACCAGCTGAATTGAACTAGCACGGTGCTGAGTATGGGAGGCCCACCTGAGGATTGTTACCAGCAGCATAAGAGGCAGAACTGGAGAAGCTGTTGGGAGGCTGTTAGGGGAACTGTTTGGAGCAGCTTTAGAAGCTGCTGGTTCCGTTGGGCTATCCTGCTGGTGGACCTTGTCATGCTGGTTTACTGGATGAACTTGGCTGTTTTTGTGGGAGGAGGAGCTCAGGACCTCACTGTTGCTGAGAATGGCTATGGTTCATTTGGGAGTAGCTCCCATCCTCATCTTGAGCAACGCTTCCTGGCTCCAGAGGGGAAGATGGTGCACTGCTAAGCCTTCTGAAGAAGCTTGTCATGTTCACTTTCCTGACGGAAACTCAGCTTTCTTCATCGTTGGAGGAGCTCCGGACCTCACTGTTGCTGAGGATGGCTGTGGTACTTTGAAGGGGAGCTCCAGTGCTTACCTTGAATGTTACTTCCTGGCTCCAGTGCAGATCCCTCAGCCTGCTAGCACAGACCCTTCATCCTGTTGACATAGACTTTCTAGCTTCCACCACTTCCGCTGGGCCTTCTCAGTGCCAGTCCATGAAACAGGCCTGTATGACACATTGTCTTGGGCTCTAGGCCTCCGATTGGACTTGTGAAAGGCATTGTTGTGGGCTCTAGGTTTTTAGCTGGACTAATGCAGGATATTAGGATCCAGGCCCTCAGCTGGTCCTAAATGTGTGGACAGATTTCCTGCACTCTTGTATATGATTCTTTGGGTGATTCATTATAAAATAATCATATAAAATGTGTCCTGTATTGTACCGTTCCCCTTGCAAAAGCCCCAAACCACAACAATCCTCATAACAACTCTGAGTTTGAAGATATTACTAATCCCAGCTTACAGAGATGGAAATTGAGGCACAGAATTACCGCCCAAGATGACACATCAGTGAACCTCAGGATTAGATTCCGACACAATCCAATGTCACAGTTTGCCTTTGAAACCACAGCTACCAACTGCTTCCTTAAAGTTTACTGAGAACATAATGAATGCCAGATAAAGAGTTTACCTGTGTATATATTTCAATTGTTTGTTGATTAATTTCCTGCTACCTTAGTCCTCAAAGGAATTGAGGGGCTGCAGGTTGTGGGGTAGTGACAAAAGCCCAGTCCAGAAAAAGCAGAGAAAGTAACCACTACAATCACAGCTGCTGAGGCAGGAAGATCATAAGTTTGAGGGCCATTAAATATAGAAACAACCTACCTCAAAACAAATAAAAACCTAAGCACACTGTGCACGTGTGCACACATGCACGCATGCACACACACACACACACACACACACACACAAGCTTCACAGCTGTCAGTCTTGAAATGAATGATAGCGCTCTCAGGTTTAAAAAAATTTCTTGGGGGCCTAGGAGGTGGCTCAGTAGAATAAGCGCTTCCCTGGCAAACGCAAGGGTCTGAATTCAATTCCCGGTTCTGCCAAAAACAAAACCAAACAAAAAAATTTCTTGACAATGTCATCTTATCAAGAAGGACCCTAGTAGGGTAGCAATTTTACTCCCTCTCCTGTTTGATCCTAACAAGTCAATTCCCTGCAGGAAATGGACTACAGATTCTTGAGATTTGGCTCCTCGACATGCTAGTTACTAATGTTTCTATTTCTACCTTCCCTCTCCCTCAATGCTAGGGATTGAATCTGGACCTCACACAACAGGCCAGTGTTCTACCCACTGAGCTCCATCTCCATCCCCTACCCCTATGCTTCAATTTTTACAGAGATAGCTGCTTACTTGCTCTGGCATTTGTTTATTCATTTGTTTGTTTGGAGACGGTTTCTTCCTCCTCTCTTCTAGGAGCAGGAAGGGTCAAATAGTGCATCTTACTTCTGTGTCAGGACTGCATCCTGGAGTTTCCCATGCATCCAGTACTCAGCTTTTCAAAAAGCTCCTGAAGCCCGGCATGGTGCAAAAACCTGTAATCCCAATGCTTGGGAAGCAAAGGCAGGAAGATTACCGTGAGATCCAGGCCAGCCTAATCTATCTAGAGTGTTAGGGGCCAGGGAGATGGCTCAGTGAGAATAAGTGCTTCCCTGGCAAGTTCAAGGGCCTGAGTTCAATCTGTGGTCCCGCAAAAAAAAAAAAAAAAAAAAAAACTGAGGATCTATCTAGAGTGTAAGACCAGCCTGAACTGTATAGTGAGACCCTGTCTCAAAAAAAACCTTCTAGAATGCCATCTTCTCCATCAAACCAGCTCCATTAGGCACCTTTTCTATCCTTTCTTTGCTGCTGCCCCTCTACCCTGGCCTCCCTCTGCCTGTCAAGACCCCTCTGCCCAGGGACTCTCCACCACAACACATCAGCATCCAGCCTTGGTCTGCCTACAGTGTCCTCCCACTCTGTCACAGCCCTGCAGGCTCTGTCATGGCTTGACTTGTCAGAATCAGTCTTCAATACCATTTCTTGCCCTTGGTGCACCCCCTGGGATGGGGTTTGGTCTGCAGCAGGGACCTGCCTAAGCCTCAGCATCAGAAAGTAAGTGTCCAAAAAAAAAAAAAAAGAAAGAAAGGAAGGAAGGAAGGAAGGAAGGAAGGAAGGAAGAAAGAAAGAAAGAAAATAAGTGTCCACTCTGGCTTGGTTGTTAATCTGTTTTTCCCGACCAAGCAGCGCTTCCTGACCACCCCATTCCTTGTAAGGTGGATGCTCTGGACCAGTGTTGCTCAGATTTGAGCATTTGCCTAGCATGCTGAAAGCACCTCTGTTCAATCACTAGCAAAATAAATAAATGCATGAATAAATAGAAAATTAGCAGGACTCTTTAAGTAACGGAGAGACCCTTGTCTCTCTGGGCTGGGCTTCCCCCTCCCTTCTCTCATTCACTGTAATCACCCAGCATCCACCACAGGCTGTGGGATCCGGGAAAATGCTCAAGCTCTGCATTCTGAGCCACAGACACTACACCTGGTTGCCATTCCGCAGTTTACTCTTCCTGCTCTGCCCCCCCCCCCCCCAGCTCATTCCAGGGAGTGAAATTGTAGCCTCAGTGTGAGAACCAGCCAGAAGCCCTTGGGGGACGCCAAGTGGCAGGGCAGATAGTCCTCAGGATCAGAAGCTCTGGAGTCTGACAGATCTGAGTTGGGACCTGGATCTGCAGTTAAGTCATGTCCCCTATGTGACAGGCCTTGATGTCCTGGCCTGTTCAGCAAGGACAATCTCCTAACTCTCCCTTGCACTCTCTCCCAAGGATGAGGGTGACCAGACTCACGTATGTCAAGCTCTCAGCCCATTTCTAGCTCAGAGAGAATGCTCTAAACTGGGCTGTCCTGCTGAGCACGCTCCAGGGCACACTTTCTTAGGCACACAGGATCTCAGCACTCACTGTCAGTAACATTTCCATCTCAACGGGCTCATTTTTCCAGAGCAACAAGTTCAGATGGAACCAGAGCCAGAATGGAACAGTGCAGGAGGCTGTCCTGAAAGTGGAGCCAGACAGTGGCGTCTCCCTCTGCTCCCTGCTATCCTCTGGGCTGGGTGATGGAGGCTCGTCTGTCCTGGATAAAGTGCTCTGGGGGCAAGCTCCAAGTCCTTTCCAGTCAGATGACCCCTAGAAACCCAATCCATATAGAAAGACTTTAAAATTGTTTAAAACTAGAAAAGACGGTTTTGAATTTATCAACAAGTATATACTCACTTCACCTAATTTGTTCTACAGTACTGGGCCTTAATGCATGCAAGGCAAATGCTCTACCACTGAGCTACATCCCCAGCTCCTTTTTATCTTTTGAGCTAGTGTCTCCCTAGTTGCCCACACTAACCTCAGACTTGTGACACTCCTGACTCAGCCTCCCAGAGTGCTAGGATTTGCAGGTGTCCATCCACACCTCCAGTTCT